GCGAGCCTTGAGAGCTGCGTGCTGCGGCTGCGTCCACAGCGCCTCCAGCTCCCGCAGGTGCTCGTGGGCGGTGGCGCCAAAAAAGAAGCGGATGTCGCATAACGCCTCCACGGCCTTGGCGCGGCGCACCTTGTCTGCGAAGGCCGCGATGGTCTGCGTCGGCGGCTTCGTGTTGGGCATGTCACACACCACCCCGATGCCGCCAGCGTGGGCCGCCGCGGCCTCGCTCCGCATGTCGCCCTTCGCCTCCAGGCCGGGCTCGCGGAAGTGCACGTGGCAGTCCACAAGGGTGGGCAGCGCCACGCGTGTCGCGGCCGTGGCTTGCATCCCCCTCGTCCCGTGTGCCCGAGCCGCTCCCAGTCGGGTTAAGCGTAACGTCACCCCCGCACACACACACACACACACACGCAGTCCACCGGGGCGGCAAGCAGCAGCTTCTACTGCGAGTTCCCAGACACGGCGCCGCCACTCTCTCTCGCTCTCTCGCTATCTATCCCGAAGCCAGAGGCCACCACCCTGGCGATGGTCGCCGCAAGCCACTCCGCAAACACGACAGGCAGCAGGAGAGAGAGAGAGAGAGAAAGCAGAATAGGAACCGGCAGAGGTGCGTCGCCCACCGCGCCCGGCGGCGCCTCAAGAAGAAAAGAGAGAACGTGTGTGGGGCGACCGCAACGGCGCATAAAACACAAAACAACAACAGCAAGTTTCCCGCCTCCTCCACGGGAATGTCAGACGCCCTTTTTTGTCTCCTCCCATCCCACGGCAGTCACCTGCGGCCACGCCGGTCCGTTTACTTCAAGACGCAGTGGCGAAGCCAAAGACGCGGCACACAATCACAAACCCATGGAATAAAAAGAAACAAAAAAAAGCAAAGAAACGGGAGCCTCCGGCACACTTTGTTGCCTTTTTTTTTGGTGTTTTTTGTTTTCGTCCTTTACGTTTCACACGCTTTTATTGTATTTACTGCAGGCACCGCGGCCTACTGCTTAAGGGGGCCCTCGCACATCTCACATCGACGCCGCCCTGCCGGGTTAAGGAAGGTGCAGACGTCGCAGGCAACCTCCGCCTTGGTCTCTGCAGCGGCAGCGCCAGCAGCAGCGGCAGCACTGCTGTCCTGTCGGCGTTTGTCAACAGCGCCGTAAAGCCGGGTCGCGCCAAACGCCGTGACGCTCTCTTGGAGCGGCGGCTGGAGCAGCTCTGCCGGCACCTCCTCCCAGACCTCTGGCACCTCCACGGCATCTGCAATCTTAGCCAGTACGCGTTCCGTGGCATTCACGGTCAGTGCGTCGCCAGAGCTAAGACCGTAGTCAAACAGGGTGCCGTCGTCCTCGTCATCGACCTGCGACGACGTTGGCGCTGCGGTAGCATCAAGGGCTGACGGAGCTGCGGCGTTCCGAGCACCAGAAGGTCGTGAGTTGTGTCCGCCCTTCTCCACGGTGCACGTCCGCTGAGTCCGCAGTGGCTTACGTCCGCGGAGCAGCTCCATCTCCTGCGGAGGCAGCAGGAGGCCGTGGTTTTCCGCCACCAGCCGCGAGATGGCCTGCTTGAGCTCCCCCAGCGTGGTGGTGTGATGCAGGTCTCGCAGCACGTCACTGGCCTCGTAAAGGTTTTTTCGACTCCGGCGAAGGCGCAACTGTAGCCTCAGCGAGCCGTTGAAGAAGCACCGCATGGACTCCTTAACTCCCTCGAGAAGCGCCGCTGCACAGTCGTCGCAGGTGGGTGGGGCAAAGCCACGGTCTGTGTTTCGCTCCACAAAGAGCGTCGTCGTGCCGGGATTCACCCGGCGCAGGAGGTCGTCCGCGTGTTCGTCCTCTGCAGGAGGTGGGGGCAAAAGCATTTTGGACTCTCCATACGTCTCGAGGAGGTCTATAAACTCGGCCAGCGGCAGCAGCAGCAGGGGCGGAAGCAGCGACAGGCTGTCGTCGTCCGGCGCAGTCGCCTCAGGCGCCGCGTCGTCGGAGGTGGAACGCCGGCGCAGGATCTGCACGAGGTGCCTGGCAACCGACCTTGCCTCCCAAAACGGGTCCGCCGGGTTGAGGAGGTGCGGGGCAAGGAGGGTTCCGCCGTGCGGGCAGCGCAGGGCCTCGTGGTCCATGGGCGGCGGCGGTGGGAGGGCGCCGTCCACGTCCATTGACCAGCGCCGCCAATGCGCCACCCACCACATCGGGACGCAGCCGTAGCTCTGGCACAAGTCCGGGCAGGCCGCGGCACGCGCGGCAGCGAGCGCCTCCTCCGCCTGCTGCAGCGGCGTGGCAACTGCAGGAAGTGATGGGGGCGGCACCTGTGCGGCGCCCTGTGCGGCGGTGCGGCTGCCAGCATCTTTGGCTCGCCGCCTATGCCCGCCCCGACGCACGCGCTTCGCCTCCCACGCCGCCGCCGCCTGCCGCTCCTCCTCCGCCGCCCTCGCAAGCGTCGCAACCTGCGCCTCGAGGGAGGCAATTACGGCAGCCTGCTGCTTCTCCCACGAACGGTGGTGGTCACGGTGGAGGCGTTCGAGGTTCCGCTTCCACATCAGCCGATTCGGGTGCTGCTCCCGCATCTCCGCCGGCGTCATGGCGAGAGCTTGGGCCGCGGCCGCCAGGGTGGGGAACCGCTTTGCCTCACCGATCCTTGACATCCGCGCATGATGGCGCTGCGCCGTCGAGCTGACGGTGTCCTGAATGCAGCTGGGGCACCTGGAGGTCTGCTCCACGGGGAGGTACGGCAGCAGCCGCTCAAGAGACGCGGCTCCGGCGTCGTGGTCGCCGGCGGAGCAGAGCGGCATCACAACGCACTCGCGCAGGTAGCGCCAAACGGCCGCAGGCACAACCTGCACCGCCGCGGAGGGCGCCAGCAGGCGATGCTCACAGAGAAGTTTACCACATTCCGGGAGCAACAGACTGGGCACCTGCTTATCACTACTATGCTCGACCGCCGCCTTCTCCATGCGTGAGGCGGCTACGAGTCCGGTGAAGCCTTGGCGGCGCACTATCTCCTTCCACTTGGCATGCGCCGCACGGAACCCCTCCCAGAACTCCAGCACATCGTTGCTTACATACACCGCCGCCTCTTCTGCGCCTCGCGCCTCACTGGGCGCAGTGGCGGCGTTGTTCGTGGCCGTCCGGTCGCTGCCGCAGTTGGCATTCGGTGCAGCCTGCGTGCCGCCAAGCATTGCCACCGCCGCCCTCTCCTCTTCCCATGATTGCTTCAGCCGCAGCACCTCCGCCGCCATGGTCCTTGTGCAAGCCTCACAGGCGTACTCGCCGATGCGCCAGCCGAGACTGGCGGGGGACGCCTCTTCAGCATTGGGAAGCGTCGCGGCAAGTGAGGACATGGTGTTCAGCAGTGAGGCCAACCCCGCCGATAACGCGGAGGGCAGAAGTTTGTACGGGGCCCAAGGGGCCAACTTGCCGTGGGGACAGCGCAGCGATTCCATGTGCGCCAAAAGCAGCTCCCGCGGGGGCTCCTCGAACAGTAGAGTGTCTGCATTGGCTACTTCTGCACCTCCGTCCCCGTCGCCTCGCCGCGTGGCGGCCGCGCCATGCAGCGGCTGCGTGGAGGCTGCGCCGCCTGCCTCCTCCCAAGTCTCGGGCTTCGGCAACGAGGACGAGTTGGAGGGATCCGCTCCCGGCATTTCATCGAGATCCAGGCGACTGCTGGCGTTGTTTCGCAGCCGCTTCTTTCGCTTCTCGCCATCCTTGTGCCGCTGCACGTCCACGTACGCCGGCAGAAACCCGCGACCAAGAAGGCGTAGCCAGCTCGAGGGCACCGCAAAGAACTCCCCAAGCTCACTGCTGCCAGGCACACCCGCCGCTTCCTCCTCGCTGCCGCTGGTGGTGGCGGTGGTGGCGCCGTTGCCTGCAGTACCCCCAAAGAGCTTTCGGGCGAGCTCTCCCCATTGTTGCAGAAAGGCTGTGACCTCGGCGCGGCGCATCTCCCAGGTTTGCCGCCGCACCTCTAATTCATGATTCAGGCGCTGCACGTGCCGCAGCAGGCGCGGCGGTAACGCGACGGGGGTCACAGCCGCTTCGTTCCTTGCCTCATCCGCCAGCTGCACCACGCCGGCCTGCACGTCTGCCGTGGTCGGCCCACGCGGGCGGCGCTGGTAGACCAGCATGTAGGCCTCCTTCGAGGAGGCCCGCGTGCCTTGAAAGCGGTGTTGCAGCCTTGCCACCTCGGCATCGTCAAAGCGGTACCACCCCGCCGTCGCGTCAAGCTTGCCGTGGAAGGTGTAGTGGCCGGACACGGCGGTGTCGCCAATGTGGTTCACAACGCCCATGAGCGCGTAGTGCGCCGCATCACGGGCGCTTGTCGTAGTGACGGGAGAGTCACTCCCTTCACTCCCCTGCTGCTGCTGCTGCTGCTGCCACCGATTGGTGTAGTCCGTGAGGTCCCACTCAAGTGGGAAGCTGACGGGCCGCGTCACCTTCTCCCGCCGCTGGGTTTGCGTGTCGAAGGTGAAGCGGTTGAGGTGCAGGACAAGCACCTCCGGCAGCGTTCGCAGGTATTGACACGAGGACGCCGTGGTGGTGAGGTTGCACCCATCGCACATAAACCCCTCCACCTCCTCCGGCTGCAAGAAGGTGCTCAGTGCCTCCTCAACGGAGCTCTTCACGGGAAGCGAGAGAAAGAAGAAGGGCTCCGCCCGCTTAAAGGCGCGGTGGCAGTTGCCACAGCGACGGTCGTAGAGCAGCGTCCCCTCAAACGTTTGCTTCACCGCTGTTCCGCCCTCATGCTGCAGCCAAGTGAGCAGTAGAGCAAAGAACTCCTGTGCATCCTGCTGAACTTGCGTGTCTAGAGAGAGAAAGGCGGCAAACGGCTGTGCATTGGCCCCTGTGCCGTCGCGGGTGAGGGCCATTTCCGCGAACAGTTCCCCTAAGCCAGATGCCTGCAAGGCCTGCGTCATGGGTCGCGCCGCTTCCTCCGCCTCCGCCTCTGTTCTCTGCGTCGCGTCGTCGGTTATCTCGCACAAGTGCGACTCCGCGGCGGAATCGGCGCAGGCGCTCAACACCTCGTGTCGCACGCGTGGGATGTTAAAGAGAAGCTGCAGGATGGCATTAAGGTAGCACGTGTTGCCCAGATTGCGTATGCCGCGACGTGGCAGGGGCGCCTTCGCACGCGCCAGCGCATTCGCGGCGTCCTCCGCGACGGGGCTGCCTGCTTCCGGCGGCGGCGGCGGCAGCAGCGCGGGTCCGGCGCCCATGACGTCTGCCACGCAGTCCTTGAGCACACAGGCGCTGGTGGCGAGGTCCAGGAAGCCGGCGAGGCAACGGGGGGCGGCAACGCAGTTCGCGTGGCGGTTACGTGCCGTGCTGTGCCGGCAGAGGCACGGGGTGTTGAGGCGGTAGGCGGCGCGGAGGACGCCAGCGGGGAGCGGCACCGCCGCCCCGCCGGCCGCCTGCGCAGAGCCGAGGTGCGCGGGCAGTCTGGCGACCCACGCGTCGGCCTCCAGCATCGCGGTTCAAAACGTGGCTTCGCGCGTCTGTGACGCGGGGGCAGCAGCCGTTGATGGCGGGGCGGCACCGCACGAGAGCGAGCGAGAGCAAAAAAAAAACAGAGAAGAGAAGAGAAGAGAAAAAGGTGGCTGAATCACCATCACACGGGAACACGACGACGCACCGCCGGCCCCGCGCAAGCATGGCGCGGGGGGTGAGAGGAGAGTCGCGAGGCACGAAGGGCGCGTGAGACGGGGGTGGGGAAAAAAGACAAATCCAAACACGAAGGAGAAGGAACCAACAACAATAACAAAAACGCACACACACACACACATTCCGTGCGCACACGCCCGCGCGGCAGTATCTCGTCCGCGGTGGAGCGGTGCTCAAGACAAGAGCACCAAAATGGGATAGCCGTCTGCGGCGGAGCATCGCGGCTGCAGCTTCTCGCCGCCCTTGACCTGCGCCTCCGCCGCCGCCGCCTCCCCAGCCGTCAGGGCGACATCTGTGAAGGGCTTCAGCACCACCAACTGCCGCCGCTCGTAGCGGCGAAACAGTGGCAGCTGCCGCCTGTGATGCTGCGAGGAAAGGCGGCGGAAGAAGCACCGCTGGAATCTTCCAGCAAGCTGTGGAACCTCCGCGTGGCGCACCGCCGCATTCTCCGCGGCGTGTGACCCCGCGGCGTCGACGCAGCGGGGGCGGGCGTTCAGCGGGATCGGCGTCCCCACAGGTGCATCCGCGGCTGGAAACGTCTCCGACGCGTCCCCCGCCCGCGTCCCGTGCGGCTCCGGCGGCACGAAGTAGAAAAAGTTCGTCTCGGCGTCGTGTTTGTGGCGGAAAAACGTGTTTGTCGTGCGCTCGTGCTCCGCCGGGGCTCCCGCGAGCACCCAGGCGTCGTCGTACCCCGGCACCGCCTCCTCCCGCCCCATGAAAACGTTCCCCAGCAGCACGTCGGGGCGGGCCACCTGCGAGAGGAACGTCAGCGCCACCTCGCGGTGCGGGTCCAACTGCCCCTTCACCCGCTGCCGCGCCGCAGTCCCGGGCGCCGCCCGCAGCGTAAAGGGGCTGCCGTTCGCACTCACGTCGGGCGACGCAAGCGGCTTCCCCCCCACCGCCAGGCTCTTGCCGCGGTAGGAGAGATCCACGTTTGTCAGGACAAAGCGAAGCCCGCCACCAGCCCCGCCAGCAGCCGCCGCCTTGCTGCTGCTGCTGTTGCTTGCGTCATGGCCAGACTGAGCGGTGGAGATGAACTCGGCGGTGAGCGAGGGGCACGCGGGAAGCAGACGGCCGCCCCAAAGCGAGTCACGGCGCCTGAACAGCTGCAAATACCCACAGCGGCCGTTGCGCACCGCCCCAACCTGCTCGTACTGAGGGTTGTCGCCGGCGGCAGCTGTGGCGGGCCCGGGTCGCAGGTTCTCGCCATGCGGCTCGCTAATTTTGTTGGGTGCCGAGCGACCGCAGAGCGCCTCCGCCACCTCCGGTAGAGAGTCCTGCAGCGCGACGATGTCCGGGGCGGCCTCCTTGATTGTGGCGCAGATCAGTGGAATGCGCTCCTGCATGGAGAGGCGGCGGCGGCAGCGGCGGTGCATGTGCCCAGCACCGTCGACGGACCACGAGAGCAAAGAAATCGGCGGCGCCGTCGACACCGCGCGCGACATCCCCATCGTCGCTGTGGCGGCATCCACGACAGCGATGCAAAACGCGGCCGCAAAGGGAGGCGCGGGCCGCAGCGCACCGCGCCACCCCGACAGTCGCCGCATCCCTCTTGCTGGGCTGCTCTTCCTTCTCTTCGCAACCAGAATGAGTTGGTGGGGCTCAGGCGCGTGCAGCGTGGGGGGGGGGGAAGGAGGGAGGGAAATTCCAAAGGCAAAGGGATAAGCGGCACCCAGAGTGTCAACGAGCGAGAGAGAGAAAGAGGGGGGGGGGAAAAGAAAAAGAAAAAACAAACACAATGGTGACGATGATGAACGCAGCACGTACACGCACGGTGGCGGAGAGCCAAAAAAAAAAGAAAAATAAAAAAAAGCATCGGGATTCCCCTGGCAAGACATGCGCCTCACTCCCTCTCTTCCTTTGCGTTTTTCTCGCGTCCGCCCGCATTCGGTCCCCCTCCCCCTCCTCTCAAATTATTTTCTTTTCTTTTTTTCTTGCTTGTTAGCCTCCTTTAGCTCCGCGGCCATGCAGCGTCTCCCTCTCACGCGCCAGAAGGCAGCCCCCCGGACCCCAACAGAGAGGGCGACGGAGAGGCGCCGCTTCGTTGCCTTCCCTTTTCCCCAGCCCTCGGAGCAAAACAAAAAATAATGATAATAATAATGCGCGGCGTCGCCAAGAACGCGCCCGCCGCCGTCCCCTCCCCGTGCTGCTCGCTGTTTCGCGTGGCCAAGTAAAACAGGAAACAAGCAAACTCCAAGAGCGGGAAAATTGACTGAAATCCACCGGCCCCGTGTCCATGGAAATAAACAGAGGCAAAAACGGCGGCAATGCAGAGACACATGGAGTAATAATAACAACGGGAACGCGAAGCATCCCCCACCGCGCCTCCTCCTCCTGCGTTCCGCGACTTGCCCCACGGCCGACCCAGCGGCGCGAGGGAAGCCTCAGCATTCGCCTCTTCCCCCTCCCCCATCGGCGCCGCCGCAACTGCCCGTTGCGGTCCGTTGAATTAAAGCGATTTCACACGCCGCGCAGCTTGTGCAGATAAAAGGAGGCTCCTGCGTGGAGACGAATAGGGCGCATCGAGGCGCGCAAAATGCACACGTGCATGCGATCACAAACATTCGTTTTTTTTTCTTTTATTCTTTTCGTTTCTTTTTTCCTTTTCCTTTTGTCAGCGTGCGTATACGTATCGTCACACGTGCCTGCATGGCATCTCTGTTGTTTTCATTGCTGTGGTGCCGGAGGCGGCGGTAAAAATGAGTGGGGAATATTTATCCTTCCTTTTTTTTTTGGCATGATTTTTGTTTTTCTTCCTTGTCCCTTTATTAGCGTTCAGTTTTCGTTTTCTTTTCCTCCCGTTTTCCTTTTGTTTTCTTTTTCCTTACCTTGACGCGTGTGCGTTGCTATCTGTCGCCTTCCCGGTCTCCGCCTTGCTCTTAGTCGGTGGAGGCGTGTGTATTTGCCCCGCCGCCTACAGCAGTGTTGCGATGTGCGCCTCCAACTTCTCCGTGTCCTTCGCGAAGCCGCGGATGCCCTCCTCGAGCTTGTCCTTCGCCATCGTGTTGGGCTCCCCCGCGAAGAGTGACTCCGGCCCCGTGAACTCCGGCAACTTCTCCGTCGTCTCCGTGAGGTGCGCCGGGTCGAGTTTGCGTGGGACGGCGCCGGTGGCGGCGTCGAGCTCCTCCAGCAGCTTAGGGGAGATGGTCAGCTTGTCGCAGCCCGCCAGCTCCAGCACCTCCCCCGCGCTGCGGAAGGAGGCGCCCATCACGACCGTCTTGTAGCCGTGCTGCTTGTAGTAGTTGTAGATGCGGGTGACGGAGACGACGCCGGGGTCCTGGGCGCCCACGTAGCTGTCGGCCTGCGCCGGGTGGTGGGCCTTGTACCAGTCCAGGATGCGGCCGACGAAGGGGGAGATGAGGCTGACGCCGGCCTGGGCGCAGGCAACGGCCTGCCCGAAGGAGAAGAGGAGCGTGAGGTTGCAGTTGATGCCGTCCGCCTCGAGCTGGCGGGCCGCCTGGATGCCCTCCCACGTGGTGGCCAGCTTGATGTACAGCCGGGACCGCGCGCAGCCGCACTCCTCGTAGAGCCGCACGAGGTGGCGCGCCTTGGCCACCATCCGCGCCGTGTCGTACGAGAGCCGCGCGTCCACCTCCGTGCTCACGCGCCCGGGGACGACCTTCAGGATCTCCACCCCGAAGCTCACCGTCAGCTTGTCGACGGCCAGCTCCAGCAGTTGCGCCTTCTCGTCGGCGCCGGGCGCCAGTCCCTCGCGCAGGCGCTCGACGTTCTCCCTCGCAAATGCCACCGCGTCGTCGATAAGTTTGGCGTACTGCGGCAGCTGACTGCCGGCGAGCACAAGCGACGGGTTCGTTGTGGCGTCCTCCGGTCTAAACTTCGCCAGCAGCGAGAAGTCGGCGGTGTCTGCCACGACAACCGTGTACTTCTTGAGTTCCGCCAGCTTCGACATGACCAACACGCGCCTGACTTCTGGTTCCTACTTGTTTTCCCTTCCTTTCCTTTCCTTGTCTACCGCTATTCTCACACCACGGCTCTCAGAGCGATGTTGCTGAAGTGTTGCTGTCGCACGTCCGTAGCGAGTGGCTTTAGCTCCTTTTTTGATATATATATGTGTGGGTGCGTGCGTGTGTGTGTGTGTCTCTCTCTTGCCGGTGGCGAGGGGCGCGTGTGCCCGCCGCCGACAGCGGGAGGATGACAAAAGGGGGAGGGGAAAACGAAGGTATGGGGCGGAGCCGCAGATGCACACGCAGCCGCCTCGCCGGAGTGACGGCAGCCGAGGAGCAAAGCAAACACTGCCGCATCTCCCTCTCTCTCTCTCTCTCTCTCTCGTGTCGTTGTTGGATCTTCTACATATACTCACTATGCGAGGCACGCCACACACACACACACA